GACAATTCAATGCGAAATATGACCTTCTTGGCTTGCCATACAAAAGTGGCTCTGACGCGCGTTGGGCGGAGCTTCACTATCCTTTCTCTGCCTTGCAGCTATATTTGCTGTGATCAGTGGGAATAAAGTAGTTTTAATATGTTTTTAAGTGAGAAAATACACCTGAAAACTTCATCAGTGCCGTCAGTTCATCCAGATTACAATCCTGCCTCCCAATATTATTTCTGTCGGAGCCGCTCAGACCCCCACATACCGGCGGTGCGCCGACAGAAGGAATCCATTCATCAGCAGCCTCTGGCGGGTCGCCTCCTCGCGGTTTACCGCGGCGGCTGGTAGGTGTTTTTCATCTAAATAATCTGATCTGCAGGCACCACAATAATAAAAGCGAACATATTCTGCCGGCAGATGTATATATTTTAAGTTAATTATGCGTTAATAAACTGTTTAAGAGGATTAATCAGAGCGGTCTGTGTCATCAGTGCTGTGTCTCTCTCCCAGCCAGCTCCCAGATCAGCTTCTCTGATTGGTTGACGCGGCGCGTCGAGCAGCAAAAATTAAATTTTTCCATCTCGAGCAGCAACGCGTTTGCGGCGCGTCACGTGCGTCAGATGCCAAAACGCGCCCGACGCGCTGCTTCAGCTGCTCAGACGCGCTGCGCTTGCTGCTTGAAACGCGCCGCGGGACCTTTTGCTGCACCTATACGCGCGTCAACCATTGACTTTGCATGTAAACTCGCTGCTTCTGTCGCGCCAGCTGCCCCCGGTGTGAACGCAGCATAAGAGAGGATGTTATGACAGCCTGATGGAAAGTGGCTGTATAAAGAAAATAAAAAAGCTTTTTAAATTTATTATATATTCATTAAAACCTTTTACAAAAAAAAGAAAAAGAAAACATTTTTTAGGGTTTACAAAAATCTTTATATCAAATTGGCAGCATTCTTAATCACTTTCAGCCATTTTTTTAAGTATAAACAGAAAATGGAAACAAAGATGTAAAAAAGGTACATTGGAGGATGTTCTTTTTCCGGATGGATCATCAAAATAAGTGGTCCTCCTAATTGTCAATCATTCTAGTTACCGTATTTTCACGACTATAAGGCACACTTAAACGTCTTTTTTTCCCCTCAAAATGTGCGGTGCGCCCTTTGGTGCGGTGCGCCCTATGTGTGTTGTAACTGCGACTTTTGAGACCACCTCATTGAGGAGATGATGAAAGAGTGGCTGAATGTAAGGAGACCAGGTGTTTTTTTTCCACTCATCACCATCGCTGTTAATATGTGACTCCATGCGTGCCCATCTCACAGCTGATGTGAAAAACATGGGGAAACAAATTAAAGCTGTGCTCGCTGTTCAACCGCTCGACATCGGTGTGAACCGGACCCAGCAGGTGCAGCAGAAGCAGCGAGTTTACATGCAAAGTAAATGGTTGACGCGCGTATAGGAGCAGCAAAAGGTCCCGCAGCGCGTTTTGAGCAGCAGGCGCTGCGTCAGGAGCGTTTAAGCATCTGACGCACCGCCAATGCGCTGCTGCTGCTCGAGATGGAAAAATTGAAGTTTTGCTGCTGGACGCGCCGCATCAACCAATCAGAGAAGCTGATCTGGGAGCTGACAGCGAGACAGACACAGCGCTCTGATGACATATGATATTAACGCAAATGAAAAAGGCTGGATGGATGAGGAGATGATGAAAGCGTGGCTGAGGCAGGTGTATGTGAGGAGAACAGGTGTTTTTTTCCACGCATCACCATCGCAGTTAATCTGTGACTCCATGCGTGCCCATCTCACAGCTGATGAGAAAAACATGGTGAATCAAATGGATGCTGTGCTCGCCGTTATCCCGGGAGGTCTGACAAAGGAACTTCAACCGCTCGACATCGGTGTGAAGCGGCCGTTCAAAGTAAGGCTGCGAGCGGCGTGGGAGCGATGGGTGACAGACAGAGACCACAGTTTCAGGATAAGTGGAAGGCAACGCCGGGCAAGTTACGCCACCGTTTGCAGATGGATTGCAGATGCTTGGACTAACGTGTCTGCTGGCTCTGTTGTTCAAGCTTTCGCAAAAGCCGGCATTATTTCTGAGGAGCCGCGCTGCACGGAAAGTGACTCTGACAGCGAAGAAGGGGAAATTGGCATGTCTGATTTAGCGCAGCTGTTTAATTCAGAAACAGAGGATGATGACTTTGATGGGTTTGATTAATACTTTGTAATAAATACATTAATAAAGCACAATCATACTCAGTTTTGCTCCCGCTCTATTTTTCTACCTGAAAACTTAATTCAACAGCAGCCTCTGGGCCGGGTCTCCTCCTCTTCACCGCGGCGGCTGGCAGGTGTTTTTTCATCTAAATAATCGAAATCTTGCAGCTATATTTGCTGTGATCAGTGGGAATAAAGTAGTTTTAATATGTTTTTAAGTGAGAAAGGCCACCTGAAAACTTAATAATTGCAGTCAGTTCATCCAGATTATCTATTTCTGTCGGAGGCGCTCAGACCCCCACATACCAGCGGTGCACCGACAGTAGAAATCCCTTCAACAGCAGCCTCTAGGCTGGGCAGCCTCCGGGTTCACGCGGCTGCTGGCAGGTGTTTTTCATCTAAATAATTTAAACTGCAGGCACCAGGATACCGGTAATAAAAGCGAACAAATTCCGTCGGCAGGTTTCAGGATTTTAAGTTAATTTAGGAGTGATCACAGCTCTGTCATCTGCGATGTGTCTGTCTCACGGCCAGCACCCGGGTTTGATTAATAGTTTGTAATAAATACATGAATAAAGCACAGTCATACTCAGTTTTGCCTCCGCTGTATTTTTAAATACGCAGTAGAGGTATTTAAAGGTAGTAGAGGACATGTACCGGTATATAAAAAACGCGCCCTATAGTCCGGTGCGCCTTATGTGTGTGTTAAATACAGAAATGGGACACATAACTGAGACTGCGCCTTTTAGTACGGTGCGCCTTATGGTCGTGAAAATACGGTATATGTTTACATAAGGCCGTCCTACGTGCTTGTCCCCATTTTCACGTACAGGTGGTGAGTCTGACATAGTGGAAAAATTGCAAATCTTATTTTTGAAAGTAAGTTTGTAAGAGTGATGCAAACAGCAACTCTTAATTAGAGCATGCACGAGGAGAAATGGGCTTGTGAATGCTATCGCCTGCGTTTAATAGGCGTTCCTTCTCGGGAGCAGTACAGGGTTGTGCATGTGCACTTTTATTTAAAGTGGAGAGGACGGGTCTTTTCAAAAATTTGCGAAAATCCTCCACTATACCGTTAAGTAATTAAATCCATAGTGGTCATTGCTTTAAAGCTACAGTGTGTAATTTTCAGCGACATCTAGCGGTCAGACTGCAGACTGCAGCAACATGAACGTCTCCCCCCCACCGCTTCTCCCCCCCAACAGTACGGCGAGCGTTACGGGACAAAATGTCTTCCACGATGTCGGAATCACCTACCTTCTCAAGTGATGAGGTTTGTTTACATAGATACTTTTACAGATAGTATTTCATTAGTCTGTGTAGGGTATAGATTTCATGTAGACTTAAGATAATAAATATACCCGTTATTTTTTCTACGTCGTTGTGACGTTTTGGTGAGCTGCTTTGCATGGTGATATAAACAGATGAAGTAATTGTAGTCATTAGTTTAACAGCGAGATTGTGTTCGCTGGAAGAATATATATTCCCCGTTTACAGAGTCCAAGTCATGTTTGTGGCACGGGGGTTACAAGGCGAGGAAGAGGGAGAGGAAGAGGGCGAGGGCAGAGAGGCCGTGGTGGGCGTGCAGCTAGGGCCAGGCGAAGGAGGGGTGCCAGCGGGGTGACTAGAGCAGAGGAGGAAAGGCTTGAAGATCTCCAAAGGAGCCGGAGAGAAGTAACCGAGGTATATATCCAGAAAATTATTTTACAGAAAATTACTGAATCATTACCTGTGAAACGTCAGGGACGTTGCTGAATAAGTATACTGGAGAGTAACAGCATCATCACGCAGCATGTTATTGTTTTAGACAGGTCTGAGCATCCTGTACTCCAAAAACTGCAGTTTAGACAATTGTGTGTGTAGGATTAATTACCTGTCCAAGAGAAAACTGGCAACTTGAGCGTCACTTTGAAAACCTTTTTCCTCCATCAGTGACTTCCATCGTGTAAATGCCGTGCCAATGTTGATCCGTGTTTTTTGTCGTTTCTTGTCACGCTTGCGTTTATTCTCGTCGTGTTTCCGCTTCTTAGATGACGGGGGTTCGGTGTCCACCGCTTTTCGTTGTGATACAGAGTAGGCATGATCCTCCATTCGTCTGATGTTTGGCCACACAGTGCCAAACAGTTTGCAAAGTCACTCACGCCTGCCGCCTTGTTCACCTTTCTTGTTACTGAGGCGCAGTATACCTGCTTCTTCTTCTTCTTTGGTTTCAGGCAGACTAAACGCTTCTCAGGCATAATACTGCCATCTACTGTTCAGTACCTACTCAGTTAATCTCTCTCAACTTGCCGTAGTTATTTTCGAGCGTAATGGGAGATCTCGCAATCGCTAGTTTGTTGCCTCTGCGCTTGCCGTAGCGCAAAGATGTCTGCCTCCATGGCTGCGAGACCCGCTCCTATGTAATTATAAATAACGAATTCTAAGGCAACGCAAATATTATGGTTAAAAGGCTGAGCTCATAGGTGATGATAAATAACATAGTTATGTATAATATATTAAATTTCTGACTTTATATGCCTGTAATTATTACACACTGTAGCTTTAAGTATGGTAAATGCAAAAATATGTGATGGAAACAAAATTAGAAAAAGAACAAAATGTCTGCCTATGGGTTACATTTAGATGATGTTTTTATTTATTCATCTTGGGTGATGGATGAATGAATGGATGGGTTGATGGATGGACCAAAATCCAGACCAGTTTATTTAATTCTGCTTTTTTTGTGATTCTGTTTCATGACCTAAAATTTGAAAAAAAGAATTGATTGAACATTAGTGTGGTGGATGTAATCATCAGGGGACAGCTCACCTCCGCTGTCCGGGGAGCTGAGGACATTGAGGGCGAACAGCATGGCGTTGGAGAAGGTGGTGGCCTCCTCTTTACTGGCAAAGTTCAGCCCATAGACCTGCCGAGCGTCCCGCCACTGATGGAAGGTCGGGGTGGCCTGGTTGTACTTTAGACCCTTCACTATGGAGTAGTTAATAACAACCTTAGAAAAGAAGAGGGAGGTATATTAGGTCCATCTATAACATATATAACCATAAAAGGTTAATAAAAAGCTAAATATACAAAGATATGGAACTGAAAACAAAAGGCACAGCAAATAAAACTAATTTATACCAAAAAAATCCTACACAATAAAAACAAGTAAGAAAATCAAGCCAACCAATAGCAGAATGTATCAAATAAATAGAGTAGGTCCAAGAACATAACCCTGTGGTATCCCAAATGTAAATTAACCATTAAGACAGCTGCTGTATTTTTAAACATTTGAACACCTGACTGCTGTGTTCTGCTGAACAGTCATGGAGATAATGTCAGTGATCGCTCACCTGCTGGTCCTGGAGTTTAACCCCCACCACTCTGAAGGTGTTGTTGGCAGTGTTGTGGTAGATGTTAATGCGACTGAAGCCCTGCTGCCCCGGCTTGATGGGCACCCACTTCTTACTGGCATCATCGTAGACCATCACAGAGGCCCGCGCCTGGCAGATGCTCTGCTCGCTGGAACAGAAAGAAGGAAGAGAGGGAAACCAACGGTTATGATAGAAGTACAGATCATTTATCTTATTCTCAGAAAACAGAAACATTACGATGAGATGCTGTCTTTAAGCAGCAATAAAAGTCAGTTATTGTGAAACGTCCTACTAATCTAAAGGATCCCCTGGATTAGCCCCACCTTCTGGTTTTTAACCACTTCAGGAGAAACGTCCAGCCTCTACAGTAATCTGCCAGCCTGTGATTATAGGGCAGGAATCCATTTACAAAAACTGTAATGAAGACCTCAGCCTAAAACCAAACCCTGGAGGGATTCCAGTTTCTGCAGCCGTGCACTCATATTAAGACGTTTGAGCAAAGAAGGGTGTGTGTGCTGAGGATAAAGGAACATAAGGGGGTGGATCCTGAAGCATGCAACTACAGGGATTATCCTTTATTGTATCAGAAAACAGGATAAAGTCACAAACTGATGTTTGGCTTAAGTCACCACCAAGAACAGATATGATTGGACTGTGCAACATTTACGTCGCTGAAGGGAACCAATAGGGGCTGTTTTGAGGACAAACATCACTTAAGAAGAACATGTAATTATTTAAATAAAACAAAACCACATCCAAACCGAACTCGCCCTTTCTGAAGAAGTAAACCCAAATGATCAGATGTGTCAATTACATGCCAGTTTAAGGTCACTCTGAAGGGTCTTTTTGTTTAGAGTTTGACAGCCTCAAACATTTTTCAACACATCTTTCAGGGGTGGAGGTGCTGAAAATGATGAGCAGAAATTCTCCAAGTATTTGTTTTAGAGAGCAGAATTTATGATTCCATTTCAGCAAATCTTCCAGGTTCTAAAGAAGCAATGCGGACTCAGACCATCACCATACCGCCATGTTTCTCTGCAGGTACGATTTTACTTTCAAAAATTTTCAAACATTTCAAAATTTTTACTTTCCAAAATTTCTATAAAATTCTAAGATTTTTGCAAAATGATCAAAATCTTCAAAAATACCAGACAGACAAGTTTAGTCTTGATTGTCTGATATTTTCCCCCCAAAGTCTAGGGGATATTTTTTTGCAAATTGCAAAAATTTGCAAATTCTTTTTTTTTTTTTTTATCACTGGAGTACAATCATTTAAACCATTAAAGTCTCTTCAATGTTGTTCCAACATGAACTTCACAAATGAAACATGTTTTCCTTTTCTAATATATAAATGACTTTCATGAACTAAAGCAACAAACTATAAAAGAGAAAAAATAGAAATGTGAAAACGGGTAAATATATTTTGAAGCTTCACAGCCACCTGATATTTTTGTGGAACTTGATATGGAGACATCCCTACCAGAGGAGCTATTTCACACCAGTGATGTGTTATAATTGATTGCTTTGTATGAAGATGGTGGCCGAGAGGGTCCAAAAACATCAAATGTAGTCCTCACCTTTCAGATTTTATTTATTTATTTTTTTTTCCAACTGTTACCTCATATGGGTGCCTCACCAGCCCAATGTCAGATCTGGTTCTCTCCTTCTATTGAGACTTTTTCACTTTCTTCACAGCTTTAAACAACTCAGCAGAGATTATAACATTTGTTTGGCTTTATACAAATATAAAACAACTGGATGAAACCAAATTCTCCTTTACAGTCAGAATCTTTCATCCCAGAATCTAATCATGATGAAATCCCAAAGCAAGAGAAGCTGGTTTGACACTTCAGCTCAGCTGCATACAGATAATTATTTCTACAATGAAATATTAGCCCAATTTTTCCTAAAAAAAGATATCTTAAATTTTCAGAACAATTAGTCAAAATGTTCATCAATCTGCACTTAACAACAGCTGCTGTTTCCATAACAGTGATATCATGGGACAGAAGACAGAGATGTAACACAATAAAAATAGGGGAGGGCCAGCTTTAAAAGAAAAGAAAAAAACGATTGTACAAGTAAATCATATTAAGAAGCCCCTAAAACACAAAATTAGATATTAAAACACGGCCAAAGAGCTTTATTAAAGTTATTCCTTATAAAAAGAAAACTATTCATTACACAAAAAGGGATTCATTTCCAGAATTTTTTCCTATGGCTTTCTATTGTTATAACTTACAGATAATTATAGCAAAAAATAATATTTCAGAAACAACTGGATGTTGTACTGGATGTTATAAACAGAAATGTTGCCAAAGATGCAGTCAATAAAAACCCTCAATAGGAGGCTAAACCATAAAAGATAAGTGCTAAAGAAGCCCGCTGATCAGAGTGCTGTATCCAAGCATAATAAAGGAAAGTTAAGTGGAAGAAAAAAGTTTAAGACAAGAAAAAAGGGCAGCAACCTTTAGAAGATTGTAGATCAAACAAAGTAATATCTCAGCAGAGCCACGATCTAAGCGCCATGCTATGCAGCATTGCTGCAGCAATACCTGCACTAGAAGCACCGATCATATACTGAGTTCTTATACTGTATATCATACAGGCATAGCTCTCAATAGTCCAGGATTCCTGTATTAAAAATATCCCCTATGAAATCAAAAACATTCAAGTCAACATAAACACTTGTAATATATAACACAGCTTTGTGATGAGATTTCAGCTGGATGAAATGCACCTTTAAATATGTTTTTTTTTTCGTTTATCAGGTTTGAGGACGATCTAAAGTTATTCCTATAAAAAAGACTTTATCCCCCCAAAAACCTTCTAAAGTTGAAAATAATGAGAAATCACTGGCAAGCCTTTAAACCTACATTCCTCTGTGGTGAATGTTAAAACAATGTGGGATAGCTGCATATTTTGTGCTTCCTGCATGTCTGAATGTGTCTAACAGAGTCTCTAATCAAATAACAAACATTTTCCTCCACTTCAGAGACTCATCAGACCACCAGAGTCTAACTGGGAGCGTGAAGGGAGGGGTGCAGGGAGGTGTCCGAGTTTCTCCTTACAAAAACAGCTCCTATTTCTGGAGCGCTTTAAACTACCGAGCTGGACGCCTTGAGCTGAGGAATGATGTGGAAACTCACAAAGTCTCTTGTCTAGTTCTGATTTGTTTGTTGCTCAATCTTGAGGAGCAAAGCAGAAAAAGAGGAAAAGAAAAAAAAATTTAAGAGCAAGAACTAAATACCAGTCTAAAGTTTTAGAACGTCCAAATTTTCCACTTATTAATTGCAACTTATGTCTAATGGGTAAAGGTTAGTGCTGAACTGGAAAACTGAAAAAAAGAATGTGCATTTAAGAATTATACGAAAAACTCTCTCCAGGAAAATTCTCACTTTTTAAAAGTGGGAATCCAGAAATGCCTTACATATCAGACACTGGGCCAACTCCAACACATCATACTGGAAAAACATTGATCCACTCCCTTCAATCAAACCAGAGACACTTTCTAAAAATGATTCAATCTACATTAAAGGCCTGGGTCACAAAACAGATCTACATAGAAATATAATTTATTATGTCAACATTCCAATTAACATTGCTAAAGATCATTTTAGTGATGATGATAATAAGATTATTATTATTGCCAATAGGGCTGAAACAGTTAATCGAATTAATCGATTATTGAAATAATCTACTAATTTAGCAATTGATTGTTAACTGGAATATGTAGACTCTACAACATACCTTTAGCTGACAGAGCAACCCATTTAGAGCAATAATTATATCAAAAAAGTAAAAAAATATAAAAACATTTTGCATCTAAACAAAAAAAAAAAAAAACTTTTTCTCCTCAAGTGGAAAAGTTTTAGTTTCACCTGGTTTAATTTAATAAAAAATCTCCTTTAAGGAACGTTTGGTTGATTATTAATCTATTAATCGAAAAAATGATCGACAGATTAATCAATTTGACAAATAACCGTTAGATGCAGCCCTAATTGCCATAAACTTCTGACGGGTTGAGTGGCTGTGGTTGCGACCTGACAACCCTCATGGTGCGCTAATTGTCAGATTAATCGTCTGACTGCTTGATAGTGGCGCGACCCAATTGGAGTTAAAAAAAAAATCTATAAAAAACAGAAAATCTACAAAAACACATATAATGTAGCGAGGCTCCAGGGTCCTGGGCGTTCCCTGGCCAGGTCAGTTTTTGTGGCGGTGCTTCTGCTCGGATTACTTTTATGTTAATATTAATAAGACTATTAATACTATTATATCAATCATTACCACTACATCATTTTTTTTAAAATTAGGAACAAAGCATGTTTTTTATAAGAATCTTCTGATTACTGTTTTTTTTTTCTTTTCAACAGACATTTTTCATTACTCTATTTATTTATTTTCATATAATATATTTACTTGTACATTCATGTATCTGTTTTTGTTTATTTTAGTTTTTTTTTTCTGCATCCATAATTGTTTGAAATCTTTTGATTGCTTACAACCCTTCTGCATATATAAATGTGTTTGGACACATCATGGTACCGCGCCCTCATGGTCGAATGGTTATTATTATGCAGAAAGTTTGCTGCTTCAAAAAAAGATGATAAAAAGGCAAACAGAAATGGAAGAGAGAAAACCATCATAAAGTGCTTCCTATAGGAAAGTGGTAAAGAAAGTAGAGTTTTCTTCATCATTCAGATTGACTCAGATTCTCCTACAGAAAGAGGTCTGACAGACCTGCAGCCACGTCTGAATTGGAGGTCAAGTTTCTGAGAGGTAACAGTTTTCATGATAGGCGATTGCCAGGACAACAGCTCCAATCAAAGCTTATTAGAAGGAAATGAGTCGGAGTTTCAGCTGTGAAGAGAAGACGTCAAGCTGCAGGTTTGAGAGGAAGAGTTGCAGCAGGAAAGTCATTGCTAAGGCATCAGGCAAATAGGCTGAGCAATGAAATTCAATTAAATTTTAAACATGCTTTAGCAATCCGGATGAAAAGTTAGATAGAAAATGCCACTGATGGAGTAATGAATACAAATTTTAAATATTAGGTTGATCACACATGATGATAGTCAGTTAAATGAGGGTTACAGAGTGTCTGAGATTAAGTCTCAAACATGGAGTGGGAAGTGTAATGATCTGGAG